GATATAAGTAGCTTCTCAACGATTACTATGTCTGTCTAACCCAGACAGCCTGATAATGAATGGCCTCAATCCACTTGATGATATAAGTAGCTTTTCAACGATTACTATGTTTGTCTAACCTAGACAGCCTGATGAAGAATGGCTTCAATCCACTTGATATGGCAGACAGATACAGTGTGGCTGATATATTGCGTATTCTTATTTGCTTTTACTTACGTCCTTCAGTGGGTCATCAGTAAGTTTAAAGGTTTAAAATGCTAAATTGGGGTTAACATCAGGGGTTCAATTTCCCAGTGGTGGTCAGAGCAGAAATAGTCTATTCTGTAGTTTTTTGCTAAAAAAAGAAACAAGCTTTCACTTATAAGTTCTTATAATTCATTTACGTGAATTAATCTTGAGTGTTACAGACTGCAGAACTTATTGTAGTTATCTTTTGGAAATAGGTGTCAATACTGTGTAATCAGCATCTGTAAATTAAATATCATTAATATCAATACTTGCAACTTGAATAAATGTGATATTTAGGGTTCCAGTTAACTCTAAACTGTTGTTTAATGTAAATTCACCCTTTGTAAAATTTACATGATATTCAAATTATTTCCTCTTGAAACACAAATTGTATTTAAACAACGTGAATTTTCTGATCCTTATAGTTTGTATGTTGGTGTATGTCTAAAATTTACTAATCTACACTTATATTTCTCACATTTTTCTTTTTTTAGTACACAAATCAAATTACACTTACATACTTTGTGTGAGTCGAAACATGATTAGTAAATATCAGAATTCAAGTTTATTGTATCTTGTGTGTGTAAATTTATTTCGTAAAGATGAAGTAAAATGTTCAAAAATAGTCAAAGTGAAACATTTCTTGCCCTTTGTGTATCTCATCTAAATTTGAAAGCAGACACGGTGCTTATGTTTAAATAATTAAACATTAAATAAAGGTAAACAAGATTATAAAATATTATCTGTGGGAATAATCTTCTTTTGAAGTCTAATCGGAATTGTTCATCCATAAATGGAAGACAGAAATTAGGTATTAGTGTTGTGCTATTTATTAAGTGAAAATGCAGAATACTTTAAATATCTAACCAGTTTTTCATCTACATTTGCATGAAGAACCAACTTATATATTTCCTTTGAATTTTAGGGTTGTAAAGAATGTAAGCATAGTCTTTGGATTGTACCATTTAAGTAAGTTCTTGGGCAGAGCAAAGCGTATCATATTTTAGAGCTGTGGATCATAGGTGCATTAAGAGTGGCAGTCAAGTCTTACTATTTAGTCTATCCATTGATAGAGTTGTCAGTGGGTTGTGTTCACCAGCTTCCTGACATTTATAGTCTGTCACCTGAAAATTAGGGATAGTTAGTGCAGACAGCCTTCATGTATCTTTGCGTGAAATCTAACAAAACTTACGTTCTTTGTATTTATTTAATTGATTATTGATATTATTTTTACCCTCTAATATTGATCATTACTACATAGCAATAAAGTAAACTTTCTTGTAAAATGAGTACATTTGGTGACTATCGAAATTTCACGGAAATATACGAGTTTCTCAAATCAAAATAACGCCCCAAGTAAAGTGTTTCAGTATGTATTTACGAAATAAAAATGTTGTTATATAGATATAAGTACATGTGAAAGTTGCCATAAAGTGATTGTGATTCAGAATATTGGCCATGACCAGCTTATTATTATACAGTGTAGTGGAAACCGGTTTTTCAACATGTATTGAAATATATGGAAACGGGAAATATTTATTTTGCAGTAGGCTAAAGTATACCAATGAAGTCGAGCAAAAGAATAAATTTAACACGGAGAGTGTGAACACTAACCTAGAAAAATTAGAATGTTATTATTATTACAGAACCTAAAAGATGCATGGAAATTTGTGCCCCTTGTTCTTTTATGGCTCAGCAGTAACTCTGAGGATTTCTTTGCTAAAATTTCAGTTTCGATACACGCAAGGCAGACCATAGCTAACCTATTGTGTAGTCTTGTGCTTATAAAAAAATATATTTTTTAATTATTTCGGACCATTCACCTACATGCATTTTTAGGCTATGAGATACCTTGGTTAGGCCCCCCCAGTGGCACAGCGGTATGTCTGGGGACTTACAACGCTAGAAACCGGGTTTCGATACCCGTGGTGGGCAGAGCACAGATAGCCCATTGTGTAGCTTTGTGCTTAATTCCAAACAAACAAACAAACCTTGGTTAGTTGCTGTATGTTATTTTCGCCGGTGATAATTCTTTATATTTGATGAAAGGTCGGATCAAATATTCATTTATAATTGTACAACTTTATTTTCAACCATCAAATTGTAATGTCCTTGTTTGTAGATTTTTTCAGTAGTATTATAGTTTGAAGTAAGTCGTACAGTTTTTATGACCTTTTATAACCAGATTAGAAGCTAAAGGTGTGTTAATTAGAGAATTATGAAGATGATTTCAAATATCAATGTACATTAAGCTCGCATCTTCAAATCCGGAATTTGGACTAGAGGGTGGCACTGCAGATCAACAGACTCAAATCCAGCTTAAATATATAAAAATCATTACGGAATCTTATACATCCAAATATAAAACCCAAACAACATCAGCTAACTTACGAAGAGAATCCAACCTTTTCAGTAGTCGAGTCTGACAACGACGAAGAAAATCCCAAAGTCGTGGGTCGTCTCTGCTTTTGGCTAGGAACGTCGCCCAAAGTAGTACATCAAACACTCAAAGAACTGGACAAAGACTAGTACCAGCGAAGACATTTACCAGTTTTTACAAAGCAGACAACTTTCCTTTTAAACTACCTTGAACATTACTCCCTCAACGTTCTTCGGCTCTTGTTCACAAATGAGACATGATCGATAATCATTGAAGTAAATCTAATCAAAGTGGTCTACTTTCAACATTTGTCTGCTTCAAGAGAGAGAATCTCTGACCGCTCGCGGGTCCTACCCAAAATTCTTAATATGTTCTAATCGTGTTCCAAATTAGAACTTTAGGAAAACTCGCAACCCTCTTCTCCTTATTTTAGTTTTGTTCTCAAGCCTGTATTAATTTGGCTTTAATACCAATAAACAATACCCCATGATTTGGAGAGATCACATGAAAATCTCAACCTTGGGTTAGACTGGGAGAGAAAATTACGAAATGGAACAGTACAACGGGGTAACGCACGAGAACGCGTTCACAAGACTCGCGGGTTAAACCTTTTTTAAGTAAAGAACTACATTAAAAGGAACATAAATCGGGAAAAGATGGAAACATAACACAGGTTAACATAAGAAAGTAGGGGGAACCACTAACTGCTGGTCATAAATGAACAGAAAAATTAAAAGTTAAATTGATGTGAGAAAATAAACATTTGAACTAAAAAAAAGTATGATAAAAATCAACTATAATAAAACCCTTTAAGACATAAAATAGTACAGCATAAAAAAGAAGTAAATCTTTCAAAAACACGTACAACTTAAAATTGAGTGGTTAATACCGAAAACTCGTTATAAACACATTAACAAAAGTGAGGTTTTAACGGAAGATATATCTAAAACTATTAATGCATATTAAATGAAAAAGTAGACTGGCATACATATACACACACAAAGTGTGTACAGCTGCACTTGGGAATTTCACCATTGAAGGGTGGTCAGTAGTCTGACCAGGATGTGGTTGATTGCTAGTTCTCTGTACCGTCTAGGCCAGGTGGTTAGAGCGCTCGACTCGCAATCTGAGGGTCGCAGGTTCGAATCCCCGTCCCACCAAACATGCTCGCCCTTTCAGCCGTGGGGGCGTTATAATGTGACGGTCAATTCCACTATTCGTTGGTAAAAGAGTTGGCGG